TGGAACCCTTGGACCTACTTCTGGAATATAAATGTGAGTCACCTAGTTTGTTACAATGAAAATAGATTTTTTTCCAAGTGTGTGTACATACTCTAATTTTAGATGGATGTGGGTGTAACTTACACTCTAGATTGGACACCGTCATTGCCTAGGGTTAAATTTACTCATAGTTAAACAATACTCAACTTGCTCACATTAGAAAATTGATATCATTTCATTATGCTGAGTTTGGATATTAAGTCTGTCATTTAAGTTTAGATTGCTACAAAAATGTCCCATAACTTGACACAGGATTTAAATCATTCAAATAAATGAAGCTCTCTGTGAAAATATGTCTAAGTCCCAAATTCTAATTTTATTTAAAGTTTCATTTTTTTTATCAGATGACATTGCATTTCTGAAACTATATTAACAGTAAGTCCTAACATGAAAATTTGATAATGTATTAAGGGACTTTTCAGGAAATGCAATTTTGCTATCATCTTATTTTCTAAACAAAAGGACTGAAACTATAGAAATAGAACATTGTTGAAATAATACAGGCTTGACAATTAAGCTAACTGCTCATGCTACATGACCATTATGAAAAAATAAATTAAAATTTCTTTCTTGTTTTATGTTTACAATAAAAACTCTGAAGTTAAAGGATTTTTCTTGTCACATCCGATGAATCTGTTTCCATGTCTGCAAATTCAGAGAAACTAGGTCATGCATAAATACTAGGCAAGACATGTTTATAAAGGTGATTTTCTCATGAGAATTTTCTATGAAATTGGTAAGTATTCATAATGAAAATGTAATACAGTAAACAACTGATGTTATTATCACTAAAAAGGAAAACCATTCAAACAGAAAAACTGAGAAAAAGATAAAATTTATTAAATATGTATATTTTAGTTTGTGATATTACACTTTACATTAGCTCTCTCAGCAGCAAAACTAAAATTCTTCAAATTTGATGATTCATGAGTCTTTAAAAGTAGTCTTTGTGACAAATACATTTATATTCCAACTGGCATTTTGAAGAAAGTTTGCTCAACTGAATGATTCTACTTTTATCTTCTGGTAAATTATCTGGTAAGCATACAATTGGATTTACCTAATGTCTAATTGAAATTGCTTGCTAAGCATACTATTCATACACGCAAAATGTTACTGGTAGATTCTTATCTTTAACTTTTTCATAAGATATGAAGAAGCTTATTTACCAATCCACACTGAATATAGAGCGTGCCTCTTTAGAAGAGGATTTCAAAAATACATTTTAATACAACCTGCAAACACTGCAACCTACACAAATCCTCACAAACTGTCTGTACATTTTAACAGAACAATTTTAAAACAAGAAGTCAATATTTCTTGATGTTATCACTGATTCTCCATCTGACTCACTTGGGGAAGACAGGAGGGATCATAGAGGAGAATTTATGTAAAAAAAAATTCAAAATATTTTTGAAGCTGCGAGTGTAACTTGGTGGTAGCATGCTTGCCTAGCATGTGTAGGGGCCTCAGGATCTATCCATAGCACAGGAAAAAAGGAAACACACATGCAAAGAACAGCAAAAATAAACACGCACACACACACACACACACCATCACATAAAAAAAAGTTTTAAAAAGCCCATTAGGAAGAGGTGGTGGGATATAATATAGGAAAATTAAATGTGAAGATACAGTCACAGAGATGTCCTTGTAAAAAATTGTCACCATGAAAACATTTGCTTTGTACAACAAAGACATGTCAATGATTTGAGAATAAAACTATAAGTGTGTCACATTATGGTAAGTTTTCTATATATTTTACAGTAGAAAATGAACTGAAGATATGCAATTTAGAAATTTTGTCTAAAGGGTTTACACAGAAGAAAAGACATAGAATGAAGCATTATCAGTGAATCCACTTTTATTTTTGTTTCTTTCACATAGATAATTTCAGGTCAACTACAAAAATCATGAAATGAAGAACTGATCATGGGACTGCACACACAAGAATCACTGGAATGAAATAACGGTTTCACAAGATGACTGTTAAGAAAAAAAAAACAGAATACCATAAATTCATATTTATGTAGTACTCATGTCAGATATTTAAAAATAATAAATACAGAATAGTAAGAGAGAAACTAATATCAGAAACAGAATGGGATACATTTTATTTCCTTTAAGACAGATGAAATTTCTAGGCACAGTTTTAGGCATTAAGGAGGACACAGAGGCATAGGTTAGTGTGCGCTGCTCTGTACAAAAATACAGTCTGAATAAATTACATTGCTAGCCATACAATTAGACAATCACTTACCAGTCAGTTCACTGCATGTTTAATAATATACAGGTACATGCTAATCCATATATAACACTTATATTTCAAACACATAAGTCTCTCTATATTTGTCTTTAAAATTTACATGTTTACCTTACAAAAAGCTAAATACTTGTGCAAGAAATCTGAATAACTAGCCCTGCTGAGTACTTTTATGATATCTCTCTATGTATATTAACTCTCTAAGATAAACCATGGGTTCATGATTAACAATTCTGCTTAAGAAAATACCAAACTAACCTAAAGCTACAAAGACATGAGGCTAGTATAGCTTAAATAGACACTTGTATTTATTCTGATAGACACAATACTGTTTTGGATGAGGAACAACAATTTTCTGCTAAGTTTTGTTAGCAATGTAAAAGTTCCAAATATTAGTGGTGGTAAAAATACGATATAGGGTTCATTACAATTACAGAAGGAATCTACTTCTCAATAGACTACAAATTTGTGTGCTTCAACCTGTAACATAGTCTGTCACCTTTTGGATTGTCAGGTGGACAGAGAATGACACTCTAGATATGATACTGGTCCACCTGCACACTGTAGCCTCCAACAAGCCTCATTGATGCCAGGACCACAGTACTGATCTTCCATAATTCAAGAATAAGTAGATCATCTCACAAGAGACTGTGAGCAGTAACTGAAATCCCTATCCAAATATCACATTCCTCATTCTGTTCTGACAATATGCAAAGAACTTTATAAGAGAGTCCACACCAGATTTTATGATTTTAAGAAAGCTATCTCAAAATATTCTACAATACTAATACTCTTCTGGAGATTTTCCATTCAGTTTCCTACAATTCTTGATAAAATTATATACTTTCATAAAGTTTTACCTGTAAGATAAATTTAATAACTTTTGTTTATCACTACTAAAACCAGAATGAGTTATGTATTCATAATTACTTTGTGATTCCAAAGAAAATTCACAATTGGTTTTGGCATTTCAGTAAAATCCTTTGGGGGCAGGGAAATGTTTTTGGCAACCATTCTTAAGCTGAAAGCAGAAGTCTGCTCTGTGAGGTAAAACAAATTATTAAATACTCTTGATATGGTCCTGCTCTGATTGGATTATATTTTAGCAAATAGGTACATTTTAAAGTTTTTTTTTCCCCAATGTTTCTTTCTTCAAGAGGGTCACATGAGAGCATACTTGTTTTAGTGTCTTCATTAACAAAAATAATCATTTATAACTTTAATATCAGAATTGTATATTTTATATAAAAATAGGTTTATACTTAAATTATCCAGATTTGTATAATAAACAAAATGAACAAAGTTTGCAGTAGGAAATTAATTGCAAACTTTCTCCTATTGTTAATATTTCCTTCCCTTGGAACAGTCAGTGAATGATTTCCCTAACATAAATTCATCATACTTGTGTGCACAAATCAGTTAGCTCATCAGTTAACTTCAGAGGACCAGGTGACAACCAAATAAATTCAACTCACCTACTGATACACTTAGACATTTATATAACTATCACTATTGCTTTCTTTCAAATGAAGACATTTAAAATACTTGCAAAAATAGCAGCCTTGTATTTTAATGAATTTTATACAAAGTGATCATCCTAATTCCTACTTTCTTTTGAACTGCAGTGCTTTATGAAACAATCATTAAATTTCAGATTAACAGCATTTCAATTTTGCTTCTTAGGCAATTATAACACTTTCCAGTGATTCAGTAGAGAACATAGAGCAAAGCTTTAAGGTATATGAACTTTTGAATGTTGATCTAAGCTTCTTAATGCACACAAAGTTAGTGTTCAAATGACTTCACTAGAGCAAGTATTGATTATATGCATGATAGGTATGTATGTGGAGGAATAATGAACAGCTTATTAACATTTATACTAATGGCGCACAGTCTAGAAAAATAAGCTTGTTACATATGCACAATTGTTTGCTGCAAATTTTGGTGAATAATTTAAAGGGTACAAAAGCAACTCATGTACATTTCTTTCTGATTGCCCCCGGGGAAAGCAGATACTCTCATTTTGCCTCATTTTAGAGGAGGCTGAGGCACAATTTCCTGTCTGCATAATTAAAAATGCATGTCTCCAAACTTTGGCCTCCTTACTGTGTAACTATAACTTGCCATTAAGAAGAACATGCTTAAACATAGAATTATCTGACTATCATATGATGCTCAAAACAGTTTTGCTTTTAAAATCTCACTCAAGCAAGTAACCAATAGCCAATGTAGTCACTGTGCATTATAAACAGGTGATAGGGGCTCCAACAGTAGACTCTTTGTCAGAACAAAGCAACTTTTAAATGTTGCTTATGCCAGATGCTCCCCTGCAGGCAATAAGAGACTATGGCAATTTTCCTTCCATCTAGCTTCTCACAATGGTTGCTGTCATACAAACCCTTCACTTGTCAAGAAAAATGGCATGAGCATATTGGTAGTTTGCAGCATGTGCCTACATCTAATCAGCTCTCTTAATTTGTGCAGTTCTCTAAAATGGATATAAAAGCTGGTTATGATGTTGACAGCCAAAAGGGAAAGGATATTAAGTCAACTGTGCAAACTGCTTAATGCCCCATGAGAGTTTTAGAAAATATTGTTTAAAAAGATGATGACATAAATCGTTTTTGTTGGTCAGTTTCTCTCTTTGTGGTGTGTGTGTGTGTGTGTGTGTGTGTGTGTGTGTGTGCTGAGACTTGGTTTAGTAGTAGTCTTCATAGTTTTTAGGGTTCAGGCAATAAAGGATGGCACCCCCAAATGAAAATATAGTTGCCCCCCAAGCCAGGCCATACCCCCAGTTGAACTCGTGGTAAACTTTCAAGCTCACAGTCTCAATAAACTTGATTGGGTAAAGAACCAGGCTGCTGAAAAAAGAAAAATCAAACAAAATTATGAAGTTATTTAAAGCAAATAAATCAGCATAGGCATATAAATATAAATTCAAAAGCTAATTTTTAATAAAATAAGTATAAAGACCAAAATTTAAAGCATTAATAATTGTAAATGTCATCTTTTAAAATATCAACAACATTTTCTTTTATTCTTTTATATTTATTTATTTACTTATTTTTTTTTGTTTAGCTACTCTGACAATACTGTAATAATTGTTCTGTTAATAACTGGTGAATTGTTATTAGCAATTAATGAAATTAGTAAAACATAATAATTCATGAATATACAAAGTACTGATACTTGCTTTGCAAACGCATGTACAATTATCACTAAAGACAGTCAGCGTCACTATTTATACTAAACTGCTTCATACAAAATCCATAAAGAGCTGGCAACAGTGGCATCAACGCAGACTTAAACCCTCACTATTTTTTATAGTTAAGGAACTGAAAAATTCAACATTTTTTAGTGATTATTCGTTGCAACAGAAATTTTAACTATACCTTTGTTCATAACCATCTGATTCAGCCCAATGTTCCAGGAAGAATCATTGTGATGTTTTTGCTTCTATTTATCTAATTAGAAACTATTTTCATTCAACCTTTCCCTCTCACCAAGTCTACACTTCTCATCTTTAAAAGAGACTGAAAAGTCATCTTTGTCAGGAAGCTGTAACTAATTATACCCCTTATACAAGATCTTACACATATTTTCATATATATTTCCCATTGGATTTAAAAAAAATTAAGTCAGTGAAGGAAAAAGGAATAATGATCCAGAAAAAACAAGGCCAAGAAGACTACTATAACAGAAACAAAACTTAAATATTAGTTTTTAGATAGCTCTTGGTTCTAACTCAGGAATGAAGGAGAATTGTGATGAGTCATGTTTATTAATATAAAACAAAACAATTAAACAGGAAGGGAAGGAAGGGGAAGGCTTATTTTAACTACCTAAAATTAAAGGGCCATATATCCTATGGGTATTATTATATGAAAGTCACTACACTGGATTACACAGGAGATGAAGTCACCCATTTAAAATTTATAACTTCCTTTTGGAATAACTACTACACAATTTCTATTTAATTTAAATTAAATTAATTTAATTAGAATGTATGGGGCTAAATTTGCCATATTCGCCTACCTTGAATGCTTTAACACTCAAGAAAGGTGATTTTTCCTTAAAATCTAGGTAGAGATATACATAAAATGGGCTTAAAATTAATTCAAACATTCATGCTCATTCAGCTATACACTGGCCACATCATAACGGCAGAGCTATAGTTACAAAAAAAAAAAAACACAATATCCTAATGATCAATGTATTTTTTTTCTGGACACTTGAAAAAAATAAAGATAGCCCTGACATATGAAACAATTTTATTAAAAGTGATTACTCTTTAGGTCCTATTAAAAATACTCTAAATTCCAGAATTTTAGCAACAAAAATATAAACAGTTAAACACAACATACTTTGTGTTGGTTGCATGATAGGTATTTGTGTGTGTGTGTGTGTGTGTGTGTGTGTGTGTGTGTGTGTATATTATGCATATAGTTTTGATTTTTTTTTTTTTTGGTTTTTGAGACAGAGTTTTGCAGAAGCGTTGGAGCCTGTCCTGGAACTAGCTCTTGTAGACCTAGACCAGGCTGGCCTCAAACTCACAGAGATTTTCCTGCCTCTGCCACCAGAGTGCTGGGATTAATGACATGTGCTACCACTGCCTAGCTAGTTTTGATATTTTCTTAACCTTAAAAAGAACAAAAGAATTTCAGACTTTGAAATCTACCCTCACTTATTCTCAGCATCCAGAAAGCGTCACATTACCAATATGATCAACTCTCCTTGCAAGTCTACATGGCAATCATCTAGCTTTGGCATAAAACTGATAAAGAATCATATGGTTCCTCAAAATCCTAAGTTTCTTTAATAATGATCAGGATAGAAAAGACTATTTGAATTAATATAGAATTGCGAATGTGGTAGCCTTGTAGCTCAATGCTAATCTGGGCTTGCATCTGCTTGCTATTCTTCCACCTTACTACTGAGGGTAGATGAAAAGGAGAGTCTCTTGACACTGGACACAGAAACTACACTTTCTTTCTGGTTTAAAGTTTTAGATAATAGTTAAACTTCTGCCAATAGCAGAATTATATAACTTTACTTCATGTATTTCTAACCACAGTGCAATAGCTATTAAAAAAAATGGTGGGCTCTTTGCATTAGTGAAAGAAAAGGAAATCTCTTATAAATGCCATAAAACTAATGAAAAAATGACTGCCACCCATGCACAAGAGCAAATTTTAGTTACTGAGCAAGGTTTTCTCCCCCTTTTAAAGGCTTATCCTCTTAGATTTCTATATTCTCATCACTAAATCATGACTGCAATATACAGGATATGATTAAAATAGAAAAATAAATTACAAAAATAAATCAATTTATCTGATAAATTAATCCATTCAATAAATATTTAAATGTATCTCAGTTATACAGTTTAAGGCATTATTGCTAACAACAGAAATAAAGCTGCTGTTCTCATGTATAGGCAGTCCATCAGTAAATGCATACCAAATAAAAATGTGGCATGACTATGATTGCAGTCAGCACTGGAGAGACTGAGGTAGGAGAATCATTTACTAGAGTCCAGACTGGGCTAGACAGCAATGTTATGCCACAAAGACCAACAAGTCATCAATAAACCAATCAATATACCTTGACTATAATAGCAAGTATTACTAAGATCCAAGAAGGTCCAAAAAAGAGATGGTAGCTCATTTTTAGATTCACAAAGGAATCAGATTCTTCTGGGAAGGTGATAAGAGCATAGATGTGAACCATGAATGGAGGTACAGGTCAACATAGCAGGAAGAAAAATGACCAAGGAACAGGCAGTGTTAAATTTCTGATGAGAAATGTGCCTATAGAATAAGGAAGATGCCAATGCTGTGGTCTTGGTTCAGCAAAGAGGGTAAAAATCAAACCAAATAAACAAACAACATCCAATACAAAATCATCATGCATCAGTTCCTGGTTAGGTCTCAACCCGGAAGACCACAGTTAAAGTTTTCAATTGCCTTCAAAGTGACAGTCAGCTGCTAATGAAGTTTGAGTAGAGAAATAATAACCAACTTGAATTAATTAAAAATAAACCAATCAGCCAGTTCCTAGAATAAGGTGTTAACCTAGGATGTTTTAAAGGTTCATTTCAATGTGTTTCATTCATCAAATTCTAAACCTCCAGGGTATAATGTAATGACATAATTTCCTGTTAGAGGGCAAGTTGGAATATGACTCCATTAAGAGTCCATTGGCAAACTCTCTTGAGCAAGCTTGCTTAGACTTCTTTTGTGTTGTAGCAAGAAGAAAAATTATCCTTCCAAATTGTGTTATTATTTCTGGAACCACCGATAAAATTGAATACAATAGAAATTTGTGAAAAAATATAAACCTACAATGGCAAATAAAGGTTGTTCTCCATTTATTACAATAACATAGTAAAAAAAATGCCTTCTTGCTTCACAAAAATTTCTGAAAGGCTGAGACAAAGTTTGCAGCATAAGATAATGACATCATGCTATACCGTACTACCAATCAATGGACTATAATATAAATATATGGGACATCGTGGTATTTTGTGCCCTTCATCAGATACTGTACTTGGAAAGTTGTGAAACATTTCAGAATTTGAAGAATATCTGGAATTTAATTCCTTTAAAAATTATCAATAAAAAATTTTGTGGCAGAGATACAAGAGGAACTTAAAGCTACTAATTTCTTTGTGTATTTTACTTTTGTGTTATCTTGTTGCTTAGATTTGAGATAAGGTCTCTCTATGTAGCAAGCATTAGTTGGTCTAGGACTCTATGGAGGCCAAATCTGTCTTGACTGTCTCCTCAGGAGAGAATGATCTTGAACTTCTGATCCACATACATTTGCCTCCAAAGTGCTGGGATTACAGACATGAAACATAGTATCAGGCTTCCAGCTTTAAACAAGTGTTTGCCAAATTAAAAAAAAAAATTCATGTGTGTCATGTAGTACAAGTAGTTTGTGGTCTTTATGACATTTCAAACTTCTGACTTCCCTTAAGTATTATTCCTGAAACTGCATTCAAAGGATAGAACCACCTGTAATACAGGTGATAAAAAAGTTCAAAATCAGGACTTATTCTGCTCTCCTATTTTGGATGTAATAGCTAACCTGTAAGATGAGTTGGAAATCTTAGTCTTTTAAGTCAGAATGATGCTCTCAATTGAAACCCTGGCTCTCCAATACAGTAGTTGGAAAATTGGATATTTTTTGCCAGTCATTTAAAGATTATTTCTTGAGTATCGATGAGTTCCAGGAATAGAATAGAATGTTTTTTTTCTTTTTTTTTTATTAAAAATTTCTGCCTCCTCCATGCCTCCCTTTTCCCTCCCCCTCCCCCACTCCCCATACTGCACTCCCTTCCCCTTCCTCTCCAGTCCAAAAAGCAGTCAGGGTTCCCTGCCCTGTGGGAAGTCCAAGGTCCTCCCCCCTCCTTCCAGGTCTAGGAAGCTGTGATCCAAACCGGCTAGGCTCCCACAAAGCCAGTACATGCAGTAGGATCAAAACCCAGTGCCATTGTCCTTGGCTTCTCAGCAGCCCTCATTGTCCACCATATTCAGAGAGTCCTTTTTTTTTTAAATTTATTTATTTATTAAAGATTTCCGTCTCTTCCCCGGCATTGGGTTTTTGGCCCTACTGCATGTACTGGCTTTGTGGGAGCCTAGGCAGTTTGGATGCTCACCTTACTAGAGAGTCCGGTTTTTTATAAGTTTAAGTGGTATATGTGTTTTCAATGCAGGTACTGCCCATCTCAGCAAAAGAAAAATGAAATTTTCTTTTGAGAAAACTCATTCTCTATATGAACAGACATTGACATTACTTGGTAACAAAAGGCTTGTTGATATTTGGATAGGAAACCATTTTGTTAAGAAAAATGATTACTATTTCACAAATGCCAATACAAACAAAAAAAAAAGAAATGCTATCAGATAAAGATTTGCATTTATAAAGTGAATGAAATAGACTGCAACAGGAAAGCCATTTGCTTCAATACATTTGGTTTAAATTATGTAGATTTTCTAAGTTTTTCTTTCTTTTTTTTAGAGCACACCTCATTTATTTATTTATTTATTTATTTATTTATTTAAGATTTCTGCCTCCTCCCCACCACCACCTCCAGGTTAATAATTGATTACTATGGGCAATGAACACTCTTTTCAAAAATCAACCGAATGTAATGATGTAATTCATTTCTGTGGTATTTTACAAATAAACAATATGTTTAGTCTTGTTTGTATGTATGAAAAGTCAACATTAAACTAATGGTTATTTCAAAGCAAGTTTCCATAATCAATGCCAAAAAGAAAAGAGCATAATTAAATCTGAGGACATGTACATTTTAAATTATAGCAGTGAGTATAATGTTCATTCTAGGCCTCAGTGCATGGAGTAAAACTATATGTATCTTGCTATAGGGTTTCCTTTCATTTTTTTTTTATCATTCATTACTATGTGATAGTTAAAGCCAAATTAAAAACTTTATTCTGGCCAAACCTATTACCAATATATGTTTTATAATCAGTACTTATTTTCATCAATGTATTTATGTTTGGAAAAATATGTTTTTAAGCAGAAAAAGGAAACTCTGAGTTGTTTTCAACAAACATCTAGATGGTGCCAGCAAGGGACTTCTTTACAGTTCACTTGCCATCATGCAGTGAATCAAAGGCTAAATGGAATATCTCTATGCCACTAATAAGAAATGTCTACTATTCTCAAAGTGGCTTGTAAGAATTCTAGTTTTAAAACTTCTCATATCATGGGGGTACAGCTTATCAAAAAGAATTAAACTAATTATTCATTGTTATGTTCTTAAATCTTAGCTTCAAAGACAAACTCACACTTCGGTTAAAGGGTCTACATTATTTTTTATTCTAAAACAGAGAAAATAAAAAAAAATGATAAACCAATGAACCAAGAAATAAGTTAGAAAATATGTATATCAAAGTTGTTTTTTATTGGTACTGTAGCATTCCAAATTTAGGCTTTCATTAGACATGGCATCAATAACATAATAATACTGTGGTATTATAAACATTTCCAAATATATTCTCTGGTAATGCTTTGTAGTCTGCTAAAATGTTTTGTGAAGATACTTTGACTAGTTTTTTAGCAATTTTTAATACAATATTTAGTCCATAAAAGACATCCCAGAAATAGCTAAATGGATGCGCGAGGAAGTCATGAATCAATGAACCACTTGCTTAAGATTCATTTTTTTCTAGTCCCAGGTATGCAGTCATTACTTGATCTTGGGTATGTCATTTAAGTAAATTAAACATATTTCTAGATTTCTGTTCAGCTTTGAATTTTCTTTTCTTCTCTCTCCCCTCTCTCTCTCTCTCTCTCTCTCTCTGTTTCTTTTTGGTCTGTTTGAGACAAGGTTTCTTGTGTAGCTCTGGTTGTACTGGACCTCGCTCTATAGACCAGACTGGCCTCAAACTCAGGTATTTGCCTACCTGAGTTTGGGATTAAAGGCTTGTGCCACCACTGCCTGATTTGGACTTTATGCCTACTTTCTGATCAATCTTGTTATAAAATGAACACAAGCAGCAGGGGGCAGTAGAACACTTTGGGTTTTGTAGTTTTAGATCACACTACCTTTTAAATCCTGAGAAATTTGATCTATTCCAATTTTAAACAGCTTTTAAAACTCCATCTAACAGCATAGATGGTTCTGTCAGTATCTTCATTATTGACAGTCACAGGGGCTTATTTTTTAGACATCAAATCAGATATGACTGACAGGGAAAATTGAAGATACCACAAGAATATTTCAGTTAAGAGTCAAAATGAGTAATATATTCAATGATATTCTTATAACTGAAAATCAAAACTCACATCATTTAATGAACTGGGCTTGTAACAGTCCACAAAGCCCACCCACAACACATTTTTTTAAAACACAGCTGTTGGTCTTTTGTTTACCATGTTTGATATTTCGATTTAAAATGCACTTCACAGAATAATAGCTGTCAAATTAATAGACATCCACTGCCCTCATATAATTAACTTCTTTGATGGTTCACATTAACTGACATGATTTTTCTATATTTTTCAAAACATGCATGCTTTTAAGAATACACTTTTTGAAACTTCCCTTTCCTTGTTTCATGAGACTATTTTAATATATTGCCATTGTCCTAAGATCACAAAGGAGGCTAGAGGTCAGGGTAGGGGGAGAATGGATGCTTAAAATAAAAACAAAGGACAAAAAAAAGCAGACTTGATAAATACATCTGCTACAATTTCTAAGGCAATAGCAGCCCTGTGGAGGGTTTTTTGGATTTGGGGTTTTTATTTTTGCAGTGGTGTGAATTGAACCTAAACTCTAGGTCCTAGAGCTTAAAGGCATGCTAAGCAAGCATTCTACTACTGAGCTATATATCCAGCCTAAGACGTTTTATTTATTCACGCTTTAGCCAGATGTTTAGAAGTTGCCACTGTTCTGTGAAATGCTTAACATGCTGAAAACTGATAATATGATAATCCTTCAGCCAATTTACCTTAAAATATAACAAATGCCTCTCAATTTTTTTTTTTTGTAAGTTGCAAACACATGCTGATGCACGAGAAGGGAGAATGGTAGAAAGGTTCATGAATCTTTAATGCTGGTTTGAATGTAATTAATCTATTTACCTGCTGCAAAAAGCATAACAGCAACAGGTCTGTAGAAACGCCTTCGAGATCCCACGCAGATCGAAATCAAGCCCACCAGGAATGCAATGAGAATGATGGCAGCACCGCCCAAGAGTAAAGCCAGAGTAGCAATCTGCCTATCTGGAAAGTAAAAACAAAAGCATTGAAATAAAGCTGCAGAGAATCAAAAGACCTCTGTTCAGTACCCTTCACTTTAATGCGGCTCAATGGAAGTGATTTTACTGCATGCTAAGCATCTTTGGGGTTTGAAATGTTTTGGAACAAAAATTAATATTAATGTTCTTATTCGGAAATGGTTCCTCTGCTAAGCTCAGCAGAGTTTTTAGGACAGAGTTTTGCCACACTTCTTACAGGCGCTCTACTAATGTTAAATGGAGCATCCCTCTCTATGACCTACTTATTTTCAATATTAAAATTTAAATTTTTATTGAACTATAAAGTTCAAAATCTTAACTAGGGAAAAATAAGGCTAAGTATATAACCATCACTCAGTTATACATTTTAGATATTTTCATCAGCAAGTAACTACCCCCTTACGCCTTTTCCACTCAATAACTATCCTACTACTTGGGCTATTGATGAGATCAAGCACCATAACCAATTTAGTTTGGTCTGTTCATGATATGAACTATTTTGTGTCTTTCTTTTAAGCCTGTGAAGATCATTTCATTATTATGTGTGATAATACAACACAATTTTTAATTTCCTTTGCATCTTAGAAAGCCTTCCTTAGCCTCATTAAAACTCCAAATTTTTGTTTGCCTTCCCTCACTAATAAAACTATCCTTTAGTTAATTTATATCAGGAAGTTTTGTTGGTGGATTATTTATTTCATTTCATGTATTTCTGACTGCTTTAGTAATCATCGCCAAAATGGTTTCTAAACTAAGGAATGTCAGGGAGTTAGACTAGACTCTAAATGATTGTTCAGCCCCTTTCTTCAATCAAGAACAAGTAAAGCCACACGGAATGCCTTGTATTCAGTAAAACCTAAACCTCATTGATGATAATTTGTCATTTCTTGTCAGGATGTAGCAATGGTATGAAAGAAAGACGTTTCATTTTCCAGGCAAGAAAAAAGGAAGAGGAATTTATTATAAACTACACATAGGTCAGGAAGCATCACATATGGGATAATACAGGATTAACATACTACAGTGGTGGTAATTTGAAGGAAATTTCCAGAATTATTCTGCACCTCAGTTTACTGTTTGCACAGGAAATGCAAAGAAATTTTAATCTATTGTTAAACTGCAATGCAATCTACTCAAAGTCCAAAATCTATGATAGTTTGATGATTTCCTCTGAAATTATCTGTCTAAAAAGCTTCTTGTGCTGAAGATAAAGGGCTGGTAGAGAAACCTTAAGATGTTCCTTTTGTATTTATACTTGAACACCCTTTTCTACATCCTTGCCTCCAAATAATTTCTTCATGTTTCACTGGCTTTCAACTAGAAACTGCACAGCAATCAGAAAACAAATACACAAAACAGATCCACAACATCTTAAAATATAAACATGAAAGAAACATCACAAGAAAGTAGAGAGCGTTTTTAATGCATCTATTTGTAACAAAGCCATATAACTTCAAACAAAAAGTGTTATCTGGCTTTCAACTAAAAGTTAAAAGGATAGCCATATTATGGCATTTTTATTCCCTAACAGCATGTAGCTTTGAATTAAAAAGACAAAACAATGCTTGTACTTGGAAACCTCTAGAGTACTTTGAAAAAGTTTATGCATAGTATATTATTTGACACTGGAAACATTAACTTGAAATTTCTTAATTAAAAAATATCAGTATAACTACACTAAAGCAATTAATAGAAAAAGAACAAAAGAGTAAAATTCATCTGTGCATTTACAAATCAGTGAAACATCTAGCATTTAAGCAGCTTTACTTAAATAATTTTAGTTGGAATGCTACTTTTAAAAAACAATTATTATTTTAAAAGAAGTCTTAGTTTTCTTTGAATAAAGGTACAACTAATTAGTCACCTCCTTTAAAAATATCAATACAAAGCTAGAATAGATTGATTTTCATGATACGCTATTCCATGCAACCAAATAAGCATAAAACAGCAGTTTTCTCTATTTTTACTTTCAACCTAAAACAAGACAATTAATAATCTTAGCCAATATTGCCTACCTTTAATATCCTCAAATAACCAAGTCATACATTTACTTGTATTTTATAAAGACAGACTGAGAAAAAAAAACTCAGCAAATTTTCTGGAAAAAAAAGTGAATACATAATACATATTGTCATATTTGTACCAATTTAACTATGATATCGTATGGACAGAGCCATAGACAGTAAGTAAATGAACAAATGCTGATAATAATATTTAACAAAAATGATTTTGGTGGGATAATCATACAGCTCAGCAAGTAAAGTCACATACTACCAGGCCTGAGGAACTGAGTTCAATGCCTGGAACACATCTGGTGGAAAAGTACAACTGACTCCACAAGCACACTGACTACAAAAATGTGTGTGCACACATACACACAAAATTAAAAACATTAAATCTAAAAAAAGGAGGGGATAGGCTGGTGTTCACCCTGTCCTAGACAATGTTCTATCCCATTTTCAAATATTAAGCATTTTTTTCTAGGCAAAGGCTAATCAAACAACTGAAATCACATAATAAGGTCAATGGGATAAATGTGGAATTCCAAGTGATACTCATCTAAATTTGCAAAAAAAAAAAAAAAAACAAAGCAAATCCTAATTTCACGTAAAGGTGCATTTTCTCAAACACTGATATTCTCTTTCATATACAACATAAAAATTCAGTAGTAGAAATGGGAAAATAAGTTATTAAAAGGAATTAGAAATTAAGGAAGGAATATCTTACAAGACAGGAAATGCATTAAAAGCAGATGAACAGAAGCAGGTATGGGTTTTCTACTAAATGTCCTATATTTATTTTTAGTGCTGGCTATACGGCTAATGAAAAATATCTCTCTATACTCAAAATCAACAAGGAGAGTGAACACAGTTTTTCTGTGATATTGTCACTCTTCTTCCCCTTGATAGGCAACCAGAGTTATTCGTCAAACAGAAAAAACTGTTTTATTTTCCAAGAGAGACTAGAAACAATTCATGACTCTCACTGTCCTGGCCACAAGCTGGGGTTTGAAATTGAATACCAAGACTGTATTCCTAATAGCAAATGCCAAGTTTAAATTTAGTTTTTGTATATCCACATGGAAAGATTCATTCAGGTTGGTTGTCCAGGACCTAAACTTTACATTACTGCCCAGTTAATACTCAATTTACAAACTAAAACAGTGCTTAGGAATAAGAAATATAATCAAGGAGGTTCAGTATGCTTTTCAGGGGTATGTTTAGGCCTTTGTAGCTAAGAACAGGGCTTCTGCTCAGTGTCTCTACATAGAAGAGATTTAAGACTTAGGGCAACATGGCTAATAGGTGATCTTTAAGTCATGGACAAATTGTTAACATTTCCCTTTCCTCTTACTAAACAACACTATGAAATGGAGAATTTTTTTTCAAAAAGTAATTAAGATATATATCTCATTACATTACCAGGCTTGTGTTTATAACATTTATTTTTCAGTCAGTCTAAAAATTGGATTTATCACAAATGTATAAAAAAACCCTGAGCAATTTCTGAGTAATACACTAAAATGTGATTAAAATATTTATTGCTACCTTAGTGCTGTTTTAGTTAAAGTTTATATTCCATAAAAATGTGCTACCCCACATTCAATGTGTGTAAGGCATATTAAAATATAACATTTGTTATTTTCGGGCATTTTATTTTTTTTACACAAAAATGTCATGTGTGTTATGCTTTCACTATCAGTTAATCTTTATATTAATCTTCACTCTTTGGTTTAATTGCCTCATGCTACTGAGTAAGATGCAGTACAAAAATTTGAGATTATTTTGTTTTATTTTAAACATTCTGTAAATGATGATGTGATACTGAAGTGGAACAGTGAACATAAAAACCAGTCCTGTTGAAAATCAATGGCCTATGGCACATGAACAAAAGTGACAAAGGAATGTACTAGAGCTCTGGAGCTGAACTTAGGGAAGTCACAGCCTAAGATGACTATGTACTTTTCCTAACAGAATCAAAAGTAAAAGTAAACAAACAAAAATGTACATGAACAAAGTATTTCCTTCCACAGTTACAGGAAAAAAAAAAAAACAGGAAGGCCCTGTATTATAGCACTAACTTCAATACTAACATACAGGTCAGGAACTAAATTTGAGTCCTCTTTCAAGGTATTTTTACTCACCAGCATGAGTCTCCACTCTCTATAAATATGTTAGTATTCTATAGAATTGTGCTGACATATTTTTAACAATGTAATATGTGAGACTGGCCAAAAGTTGCCAGTACATTATGAAAATTCTATAGCCTATGTTACAATTGCCTAGCTGGAAAACTGTTTTCTCCTAGGGAAATTCATAGTCAAAATTCATTAATGATTTCCAGGAAAGAAAAATCTTAATGAGGATATATTGTCTACTTTGAGTCAAAGTCAGAGCCTTAAAAACAGCAGTGTCTAAAGCTTTCCTCCTCAACTGGTCTCCAAACCTATGCTGAGACTTGTTCTATTATGCACAAATCTTTGAACCCAAAATTGTTACTTCATTCAAAAAATTCGATCCCATAAAAGCAATAAAATGTGTTTTTATTTTAAAATTCAAATTTCATTATTTGGATTAGTAGTATTTCTCTAAATGTATTATATGTTTTATATTAAAGTTATGCATTAATGTACTAATGGATTATTCTTCCTTTTCTATAATTCTCATTAGAAATTAAAATATACATTTTTACAAGCTTGTATGATCACAATCAAATTTGTCTGGCAGCCACTTGTATTTTCATCTTTAATCCCCCCTAGAAGAAATTTTATTAACTAAAATGAAACCCATAACTTATGTGAAAGTAACTCATATCACCTAAAAAGGTGATTTTTACCTCACTCCCTATAAATTTTCTCCAGATTTTCCATGATCTACCTAAATAATATGAGCACATTAACTCAGTCTTATCAAACAGCAACTAGTTCTGGCTAATTTTATTTAATCATGTTGATAACTTGGAAAACTACCTCATTATTGTAAATTC